CTCTCTCTCTCTCTCTCTCTCTCTCTCACACACTCTCGATTCCCCCCTCCCTTTATATTTTTAATTTACATTTCTCTTTCAAGCACACACTGATTATCTCATTCCTTTTCTGTGCCCAAGTGAAAGGACTTTCAGACGTTGATTATCTCTAGCTTTCTATTAAGATCTACACTTTGCGTCAAGTTCTTTATATAAATCTGACAGCATTCACGACGGAAAGAGAAGCAAAACGGGATAAAAACAAATCGCTCATTCTGTTTAATCTTTCTGGGTCTTTGCGTACACGTCTTCTAAAAGTTCAACGACCTACAGAATCTAAAAGCGCATTCATAAAAGCCACTTCAAACTAAGGGTATGGCACGTTTTCTTTGATGCAAGCCTACAGCGGGTCAAAATAGCATGATTGATAGAGCATACACCTGAAACATTAAAAAGTTGACATGTTTTCAACAACACCACCACTCTTTAACGTTCGCCCGAGAAACACGATTCAACAGACGGGGTGAGTATTTATCGAGACTTGCGTGGAGACGTCCTGACAGCCGGGGGATGAATTAATTGACATGCTCTCACTGAAATGTGGGGGTAGGGCGGTGTCGCTGTCTCAAAATGAAGGCAAGGCTACTGTTAGTCATTTATTTTAGTGATCCTGTGTATACACTCAAAGAACGATTTTCATTATAGGGCTCAAAGAGAAAAAGGTTTTAACAATAACTTTTTGAAAAAAAACCTTTTTGTTTGGTCGCTGGCCTGCAGAAGTGCCAAGCAAATTTTTGTGGGCATAGGTACATTCCTCAATGAGCTAGAATTTTTTTTACGCGGTCAGACGAAAGTGAACAAGCTATACCACAACCACCACATCACCATCATCACCACCACTATATTCAACCAGCACCACCATCAACAACAAAACCACTGCTATATTATTCTATCAACACCACCACAACCATTACTATAATAACAATCACAAACAACACACAGAACCACAGACATCATTATATATACAACTATCACAACCAACACTACCACGGCCATCACAACTACCAACACCTCCAACATAATCAACAATCATTGCTATCATCTCCACATCGCCACAACCACAACAACAATTATGTCCATCATCAACAGCACCAACAACACCGCCACCACCACCACCAACAACAACAACAACAACAAAGTGGCGTCGATGGCCTAGTGGTTAGGCTACCGGACTCGTAATTGTGAGATTGCGGATTCGGGGGTTCGAGCCTCAGCTCAGTCCGACGTTGTGTCCTTGGGAAAGGCACTTTACACGAATTTTCCACTTGGCTCGGTCCTTTCGGAGATGGACTTTAAACTCGGAGGTCCTGCCTCTTAAATACCCTAATAGTGTTGATAGGGGCGTTAAACCTATACCGTTTTCATTTTCAACAACAACAACAACAACAACAACAACAACACACACACAAATACACACACACACACACACACACACACACACACACACACACAATAACTACAAGAACAACAACACCAACTTTGACTAGAAGCTGCATCCCGGCTGACGTGTCCAGAGAGCCAGCTGCCAGCGCCACAAAGACGAGGCCGCCCTTAGGGAAGAGTTGCGCCACCTGATGGTCTAGGCAGTAGAGAGACAGACCACCGGCGCCCATGAGGGACAGGCCTGGGTACAGAGGCCACGGGCTCTCTGTCGGTGGGGGTGTTATTGAGGGGGGGATGGG